ACAGTCTTACACAGTCTCTCAAGATTTTCTACTGCTCTGCATGTTTTCCATCTTCCTCCTCTCTCAACTTTCTTTGGAAAGATGGTGAGAAAAAGATTACAGTCGTCCCTCTGTTCTCATGGATTTGAAGTCTGCGGCTTTGCATATTCATGGAAGGGCAAATTCCATTAAAATCAATGGGGTACACCCCATTTAAGGTTATGGGGCTTGAATATTTGTGAATCTCTGTTTTCACAGGGTGTGTGTGTCCGGAATGGATCCCTGTGAAGACGGAGGACCGACTGTACTTTTCCATCTGAACCATTCACTAGCTAGATTAGGATGTAGGTTTCATGTAAACATAGATTAAAGCCTTAGTAAACTTTTATTGAACTACAAGCTACTTGTGTTGTTTTTGAGGCAGTTCTTAGGGAAGCACAGTTAGACAAGGACACATTTCTGCTACTCTGCCGATTTAAAGCTAGACCCTAACAGGCTTGGCTTTGACATTTGTTATATTTAAATATTTTTGTTTCCTTACCAAAGGCTGAAGCCTTAAGAAACTTAAATTACCCTACATTTTTAAGGTGGCTCTAAGTTGGGAAAGGACTTGAACAACAAACAATCTCCCTCCCCCTCACAAATCCCTTTCTCTAAAGGAGTCTAGGATGATGTCCACAACAAGAGATTGTTGTTGTGTGCTTTCAGGTTGATTCTGACAACCCTATCACAGGGTTTTCTTGGCAAGATTTGTTCAGAGGTTTGCCACTGCCTTCCTCTGAGGCTAAGAGCATGTGACTCGCCCAATGTGCAACCCCAAACCATGGGGTTTTCATGGCAAATTTCTTCAGAGAGGGTGAATGAATGAATGAGTTTATTACAGTCAGTGACCAGCATAAACTATCTATATATGTCTATGTATATCTATATATATAAATATATATATATACACACACACACATATATATACACACACATATATATGTATATATATATATATATATATATATATATATATATATATATACATACACAAATATATATATACAAATACACACACACACATATATATCAGCATAAAATATAACAATATACATGCTAAAAGAGAGAATTTGTACAAAATAGTGCAATACAATACAATAAAAATTAAGACACCATTTTGCTTTGGCAAGCTATTGCAGCAACGCAGAAACTTGCCACCTTGGCTGAGAGAGTTTACCATTGAATCCTCTGAGGCTGAGAGTGAGTGACTTGCCCAAGTGGGATTCAAACCCTGGTCACTAGAGTCTCAGTCCAACACTCAAAACACTACACCGCACTGGTTCTCCTATCCTATGAATTGTTGTTGGTATGTGCCTTCAAGTCATTTCTGACTTATGGCAACCCTTTAATGGGGTTGTCTTGGCATGTTTCTTCAGAGGGGTTTTGCCATTGACTTCCTGAGGTTGAGAGAGTGTGACTTGCCCTTATGGCAACCCTATCATGGGATTTTCTTGGCAAGTTTCTTCAGAAGTTTGACATGACCATCCTCTGAGCCTGAAAGAGTGTGACTTGTCCTTATGGCAAAACTAAGACAAAACTCTCATGGGGGTTTCTTGGCACGTTTCTTCAGAGGGGGTTTGCCATGGCCATCCTCTGAGGCTGAGAGAGTGTGACTTGCCCGTATGGCAACCCTAGGCAAAACTATCACGGAGGGGTTCTTGGCACGTTTCTTCAGAGGGGCTTTGCCATGGCCAGGCTGAGAGAGTGTGACTTGCCCTTATGGCAACCCTATCATGTGATTTTTCTTGGCAAGTTCCTTCAGAACTTGCCATGGTTTGCCATAGCCATCCTCTGAGGCTGAGAAAGTGTGACCCAATGAGTTACCATGGCCGAGGCGGGATTCGAACCCCGGTCTCCTGAAACATAATCCCAGCGCTCAAACCACCAACCCTGTGAGGTAGGCTAAGACCTCCCTTCCCTAACCTTGTCTCAGACTGAAGTGGGGGGG